TTAGATTGATGAATGTAAATTACATATCCTTTCTAATAAAATTATTATCTTTAATGTGATTCTGAGTATATGCATCCTTAGATCTCTGTCGAGCATGTACGGGTAAAAAAGATATATGTTGACCTTCTATAATTATATAATTTCTTTAAGAACCTAGCATATTTTGCATCCAATGTCTAGGTATGTAAACATAATATTTTAATATTCCTAATTATTCTTGCATTCCTCCATCGTGACTATACATTACACTAGCTTTTAACTGCACATATGACCACTATGTGCATTAATGAAAGAGCGGAATAATATTGGCAATATCATTTAACTTTATAGCACAATATTCTTTATTAGTACTTAATATGTTATCTACATCATCAATTCAAAACTAAAGAATTAGCCAGACATTGAAGAAAAAAAAAAAACAAGCTCATTTTCATTGAAATTATAGAAGAATAAATGTACAAGAGAATAAATTCACCAAGAAGGATCAATGCATCTCTTTTGCGCTTCTTCTTCCTTAATGTATGAAGCTCCTCAAACAAAACAAAGACTAACACTTTAATGATTGTATCTAGTACTTTCCTAGTCTCTCTTAGATTGTACTCTAAGAGAAATCCAAAAGAAGTACTTTAAAAAAGACTGAAATTATACAAGTAACTGAACTCTCTTACAAACAAAACACATTGAATATTTATAGAAAAACAAAAAGTAGGCAATTGGTGCTGTGATGTTGGATGATACATAAAATTTTGTACATTTTTTATATTTTCCCTTCACAACACAACTAAAACACATATTTTCACATAAAATAATACATTATTTACATTTATCAAATTCTCAAGTAATTATGAAATTTTCTATAAACACAACTAATTTTTTTTTTCTACCATATATATGATGATAGTTATCATCTATTGCATGGCTTAATATATAAGTTAAATATGAAATTTTCTATAAATCAATACATGGTTAGTGAGTTTCATATGGGCAAAAGGGAAATTTATCTTATGCAACTAGGAAAAACATTTTCCTTATAGCTAGCCCCTTGAGAGTTGAGAGTAAGTAGTAGATTTTGAATTTGAGGAAGAGAGTAGGTGAATAGAGTACCCTTTAAATAAAATGAAAATAATTGCATTAATTTGATGGCGACATAAGACTATAATTATATTTAAGGAAGATGCTTTGTCGAGTTTCATATCTTTATTGTCTTTATGGTTGGATAGACCATCACACACAAAGGGACCACAATTTCCTGTCTTTGCCTATGATGCCTAACTCAAACAGCTTGTTTGGTAGTCTTCTTCATAATTTTAATAATAATTTTATTTAAATTTTTATTTAATTACTTTTGAAAGTTTAAATCTTAAATTTTATTATCTTTAATTTATTTGAATTGATTAATGTTCTTTATCTTATGATGAAGACTTCAATTTTTTTTTTCTTCGAAGTTTTATGGTTTAAATTTAAATTAGAGGGTTTTCAATTGGTCAATTTGAGGTCAAGTAAGCTCCTAGTTGGGTTTGAACTTGGCTAATTAATTGAGTTTGAGCTCTAATTATAGCTAAATTTTTTGACCTCGAGTTGGTTCATGCCATGAACCGACTCATTTATTACAAAAAAAAAAAAGATTATAATACTAATTCAAATAACTAATATAATAATATATAAAATAATTGAATGAGAATTTAGAAGATAGATACTTTAGATTCAATTGAGATCAAGGAAACAAGATAGAATTCTAAATATTTTTAATAATTCAATGCTCAAACCCTTAAAGTTTAATAATTTTTAAATATATTATGTATTAAATTTTAATTGAGTCAGATTACTAATTGTGAGTTAAGTCAGAGTTGGCCCAAGCAGAACTCGTTAGCTCATCGAGCTCAACTCATCACCAAATAATCGAGTTAGTTCATGACTTCATGCTGGCTCACAAATTAGCTTGACTCACTCACACGCCTAGTTTATGTAAATCATGAATTTATAAGATCATTTCATAGTTTATAGTTTTTATTAGCAACTGAATAGAAAATGAAGGTAAAAATAAAATAAAAAATAAGGTTGTGAAAATTGGACCAGTGTATGTTGAAAACATAAGAAGTAAGAACTTCAATTTTTTTTTTTAAGTAAGAATTTCAACTTATTTAATCCTACATCACTGTATATTGCCTTTTGAGTTTGAGTGATTAGTTGAAAAGTTTTATTTAAAAATTAAGAATTTTAAATTTAAATTAATTTATTAAATTATAAATATTACTTAATATTTTATTTTTAATATATTAAATTAATTTATTTAATTATTTAAATATTTTAGAAATTGAACGAGTCGGTTCAAGAGAAGCAATATTGATTCGCTTCACGGTTGAACTGGTTTGATCGGGTTCGGTCCAGCTTTTAAAACTCTAATGAAAAGAATATTGGATAAATAAAGTATAAATATTTGTGCATTTTCTGTTTGTAGGATGAAAGGGCAGCGTGGATAATGACATATAACCTTCCATGGCTTTTTCATAGTACATTTCAATGCCCTTTTAGAATTAAACAAAGCTACTATAATGGTTTATGTGGCATTTTTATGAAAAAAAAATGCAATTATTTCTAATGAATTATGAAATAATTTTATTTCTTATGGAATTTCACTATAAATTAACTATGAAAAATATTCCACACTTACAAAAAGTATTATTAAAGCTGATAATTTGATTAAGATCAAATGGCTCTTATGATTGTGGCTCTCATTATATTTACATCTGATTATAGGAATGATTCATAATCATATTGGTAGTTGTTCCTCATATATATGATGATGTTATCCAATTTGTGTAGCATATTGTGGTCATATGTATAATTTTTAGCTCTGAATTTTTTCTTGTGCTAAACACTAAGGCTTAGTTTGGGACGGCTTTCTTACTACTTCTTAAAGCAGTTTTTTGTACAAAAAATTTAATTTTTGTACTAAAAAGCTGATTTAAGAAGGGGTAAAAAAGCCATCCCAAATGAAGCCTAAGTGTGATTCAAGATAGCATAGATCAATTTAGTAGCCATGTGCATGGAAATGTTCTATTAGACCTTATGGTTAGCAATTGTGCATGATTTTGGATATTTTGGCATGCAACATATGCCCATCCTTGCTACATGTGTTATGTCATGGAAATTAAGAGGTGTATGGAATGGGTTCAAGATGTGATGTGCTTGCACAACCTTTATGATTGATTTGAGTGTTTGGAGCCTTCCTAAAGAAGCCTTGGAACAAGTAGGTGAACTGGAACAAGTTTTTAATTGGTTTTTAGTTAGTAACCTTTGAGTGGAGAGCAAGAGTCATATTTGTATGTGTTCATGTGATTCATGTCTTAATTATGCACATGAAAATAGTTGTGAATGTTTTAAATGATAGATACTCTTTTATATGGCTTTACATATGATTATTTATGACTTATGAAATAGCTTTTGTATGATTGTGATGAGAAAGTTATCGTAAACACGTTGATAGGTTTCGTTTGGGACGACTTTTTATTGTTTCTTAAAACGGAATTTTAGTACAAAAATTAAATTAAAATTTTTGTACTAAAACTTCGTTTTAAGAAGCAATAAAAAAATAGTCTCAAATAAAACTATAGATATGATATGATTGAAGTGATGATATGCAATTGTCAAAACCATACCAAATTCATACTTTGCATATTTACAATTGATGTTATTATAAAGCTTTATTTGTCCTTCTTATTACCATTTTTTTCTTCCTTGCAATTGCCTTAATTAGGTTTATTGTATCTAGGCTCCTTGAAATAAATTTCTTTAATTAGATTTTATCCTTTGCTCATTTACAATTTTTTAGATTTAAAATTTGACATTCTTCTTTCTTCCTTGCCTGTCCAAAAGATTCTACTTGTCTTCATAAATAAGTCCTTAGTAGGGATTTCTTCTTTCACCTTCCCTTATTCATTTCATCATAAAGAAATTATCCTTTTTATATAAACATAAAAAAAGAATAACCATATAAACAAGACAACAGATTTATATGATTCAATCAAGCAAGAAGAGTGAAGAAGATGCCATCAAATTAAAGAAATCTTTCTCAAAAAGAGTCAAAGAGAAGAGCATGCAATAAAATTCTTTTCATATTATCAAATATCCATCTTACTAATATTTTAGTTAAACTTGTATTACTCAGTGTTTCAGCCTCCTAGCTAACACCTGTATTGTTTTCATGAATTAAGCAATAAAAATTTTAAAAAAAAAAAATCATGAAGTCACGTCTATGTATAAGATTAATGATTAATTTGTGCCTAATTTGTACCATAACGCAACATCACAAAGCTTCCTCTATCATATAATAGTGGCAGCCGGCTGTACATCTTGTTGGTGATGAAGGCTCTGGTATTTTATTTTGCAGTGCTAGCTGGCTCTGAAAATGAAAAATCATTACTCGTTAGAACAAAGAGAAGAGGGAGCTTTAGATCTTATTCTGTAAGGTCCCTTTCAAGACTGGAAAGATTAGGAACAATGGGCCCCTTCCTCCTCAACAGCTAATGCACAAATTAACTAATCCACTAATTCAGCTATATGTCTAATTCCTCACCACACACACACCACAGATCATAAAAGCTGATTTGATTGTTTGCACATAAATAATGCATTCAGAAAAATTATTATTTTTGCTTATTTTGTGTGAGAAACATAAGAGCACTTAGACAATCAGATTAAAAAACACAGTTAATCAGATTCTATCACTTAATCCCACATAATTATAAATTAATTTGAATTCCAAAATTTACAAACATGGAATGATTTCATTTTTCACTTAAAAATGCAATCATAATATGTCGATTTACAAGCAAAAAATGAGTCATAATGGGAGTTTTGAGAAGATTTATGAAGTCTGATTCAACAGTAAGGTTCAGATTACATCCAACCAAATGATAGAAATAACAAACAAGTTTTTAAAATATTTTTTTTCTAATTTCAAGCAATCAAATAACCACAAAGTAAAAATTAGAAGGGTATTGAGGCAGCAACTGAAACAATACTCGTTAAATTGATAGTAATACAGTCAACTTTAATACAACAAAGTGGCTGCAATGGAATCCAATTTCCACCTACACTCTCTCTGTCCTCTCCCCCCACCCTTACTCTCACCAAATTACATCTTTCATGTGGTGTTAAGACATATATTTCACCACATATGCCAGTATCCAGTAGCCAACAAAGATCTTACAATGGCTGCTGAACAAATACTAAGCAGCAATCAGTAACCCAAGAAAAAAAGAGGAAATTAAATGGAAGCTATTGACCACTTAAATTGTTAATTTAGATCATACTATAGTTACTCCATGCAGATCTCTCAATATAAAAAGAGTTCTTGCAATTTGAATGGAGGCTAACACAATTAGTGCTCAATCTTCATGTTTGCTGTTGACAATTGTCCTGCTGAAAATCATCTACGACTATAATTTTCCATCTTCCAATTATCAAACTCATGAAAGTGAAAAGATTTTTAAATTTTATTTTGATTACCATGAAAGCTTGGTGAGGTCACTCCAATCTGCTGGTTCTGCTGGTTTTGACCAAAGCTTGTTTGAATAACATTATGAAACACATCTTCCAAAAGATTCCCCACCTGAAATAGAACAAAAATAAATCAGATCACTCTGTAAAGTTTTCTTTATCATACTTCGTAGATTATTTTTGCTAGGCTCTTAAATACCTGAGAAGTAGCACCTCCAAACATATCAAGAGATGATTCCATACTTGAAGGTTGATAAAGAATTGACTCATATTGACTCATGGAGCAATTGGTCTCAAATACATTTGAAACAGTGCGAGGAAACGGGATTCCCTCCCTCGATTGGTGAACAAAAGGAATAGCAGCAGGTAAATTGTCTATGGGGATAAGTGAATTTGATAACAAAGCTTTTGCATGATTTGTAAGAGACTGTAAGCAAAAGCCATGTTTAGAAAATATATATATCATAAATTGAGTAAAAAAAAACTGATTGCAGTTTTTACCTCCTTTGTAATGAGATTATCCAAGTTGAAATCAAGCCGTGGATTCACCGTGGCTAGCTTCATTGAAAGGAACTGCAACAAAAAGTGAAAGATATAGCCGTTGAAGTAATTGAACAAACTATATATAATATATCATTTTGATGCAATCTCATACCTCAACTTGCCGTTGCAATGACTGTACATAGTTTATGATTTCATCAAGCATGAGTGCTTTTCCAGTTATCTATCATAAAAAGCACATCAAAATCTAATTTTTAAAACAACAAACTAGTTCTTATCGTACTCATTCCCCAAATTGTACTAACCATACCTTGTTGCAACCCGGTACAAGATCTTGAAGCAGCTTCATTCTCAGGCTGATCTTTTCCCTTCTAACCTGAAATGAAAATTAACATAAATATCAAAGAGGAGATGCCAAAAATTGATTTTTTTTTTGTCCATAATATTAGCTAACTTTACCCTTTCAGCAAGGCTATGGCTATCTGTTGCTTGGCCTCTTCTTGCCCTGACATGGATGTAGTCTGTAGGAGGATCAAGGATTTTCAAACCATTAACCTTCCCATTCTTCTTATCAATATTCTGATCTTCCTTCGCCTTCTCGCTAGCTTCATCTTTTTCAGTACTCTCAGCAGACCGGCATTTCTTTGCATTTAGATTATTCCCCTCTGCTAGCTATAATGAAAAAAGTTTGAACTTTACATATAATGATAACTTAAATCAAAGTTAAGCAAAATACATTAAATTATAATTCTAATACCTTTCCTTTGCTCTTGTATGCTGCCTTTCTCTTCTTCACGGTTCTATCTCCAGTTACTGAAGCAGGATTAGTCACCGAAGAATCTTCCAGGCCACTTCCAAACTCTCCATCTCCTATCTCCGACTGTGCAAGGCTTTGAATTGGGCTCTCCTTAGCATTAAGAAACTTCCTGCTCGAAACCCTGGAAAGTCTTCCAGCCTGCGGAAGGCCGAATTGGCCCATAATTGATCCATAGTTCTCAGCGTTAGAGGAGTAATTTGCCGCCCTTTCGGTGAATGCAGGGTCGTTGGGAGCCGACATCAAACTGTTGATATGCATGGAATTAAGAGGGTCGTCCATGAAGCTGGAGAACTCGCCAGAAATGGCAACAGCCGCCGCCGGAGTTGTCTGCGAGGGAAGAATGGTGGCCAGGAAGTCCATGGAGTGATTCCAGTTGAGGTTGGGGAGGCACGAGGGAAGAAGCTGATCCCGAGGCGGCGGTTCGTAATTCATCTCCGGGGAGGAAAAGTCTTCTCCTTTACTGAATTGTAGCGTTAGAGAACGCAGCGCGAAAAGAATGCTGAGATTTTGAAGACCCTGAAAGGAATTTGGAGCAGGAATCAAAAAAGAAAAGAATGCTGAGATTTTGAAGACCCTGAAAGGAATTTGGAGCAGGAATCAAAAAAGAAAGTAAAAGGAAGGACCTTTTGGGGAGAACTGGGAAGAAAAGAGGAGAAAGAGGGGAGCTTTGGAGAGGGGGAAGGCGTTATAAGATATAAGAGAAATTAAAGGAAGGAGAAAGGGTTGACCCTTAAGCTACAGGTTGGGAGGAAATAGTGGAGAATGGTCTCCTATGCAGCTAGAAGCTATCTCAAAGAAGTATCTCATGTTTTCTGTAATCTATGGGTAAGGAAGAGAGAGAGAGAGACAGAGACAGAGAGAGAGAGCGAGCGAGAGCGAGAGCGAGAGAGAGGATCTTTTTGGGACTCATAGAGAGATGATTTTGCGGGAGAAGAGAAAAAATATCATTTTATTGTATTTGCTTTAAAAAAATAGAATAATGTGATGGTATTATTATATGTCAGTTTCGAGATGAAATAATTATTTATGAGATGTCATTAACTCTTTTTTTATTATTTTTTATCATGTGAATCACAATTTATTTTAATTTTTTGTGATTAATTTTTTTTTACTTTATAAAATAATTAGTAAATTATTATTTTTATCAAAATTGTGAAAATTATACTAGACAATGAACTGCAATGAGAGATTCACAAATCGATTGGTATAACCAGGATCAAACTAAATGATGTAATAAAAATAATTTTATTAAAAAATAAAAAAACTTACATAATAATGATGACATGATACCAAATATGTGAGAAAAATTTTAAAAAATTTAAAAACTATACAACATAAAACTCACATAAGTAATTAAAAGTGTATCTAATAATGAGAATGCATTAATGGATTTAAATGAAAATAATAAAAACAATTAAAATGTATATAAACTATAAAACTCTTGAAGATAATAATGTAACAGCTCAAACTTAACTATCAAAATATTGTCCTCTTTGACCTAAGAGCCTCACGATTTTATCATATTAGTGTAACTTCATAATATGTCACCAATTCCAAAATTGTTTCAGAATGAGCGCATTTAACTATGGATTTCTTTCAGAAATTCCAACCATTACAACAAAAGATGCCTCGATGTTTAAGAGTTTAGCTTCTTTTACTTAAGTGGGTCCAAACATCAATAAAGACTGTTGAAATCAAATCAATGTAGTAAAATCATATAGGAATGTACACATGCTATCAAGTATATGTTTTGATGACTTGTTGGACTTTTTAGCTCATTATATGTGGTTGAATGATTTCAAATCAGGGTAGATGATGAGGAATGTGAAACTAGTCAGGATTCTTAAGGTTCTATTTCTTTTTGTTTTAGCAATTCTTTTGTACTCATGACAAAATAGATATGTGATGATTGTATATATCTTGAGCATTGTATATGATTTTTTAGAATGAATACATATGTGTACATTAATGTTTTGAATTATATAATTTGTTTTCTTATTTGTTACTGATATATGATATTATATAACTCTGGTTATTATTTATTAAAAGATTAAAAGAATAATTCTTTCAATTTAAATTCTGGGACATCACAAATAAAAAGTAGTAAGTGTTGACCTCCATATGTGCTAGAAAATCAACTCAAATTCGATTTTAATTCCTGTAGATCAGTGTCGAAAAGCTCGCCTCACACATTCCCTGTGTAAATCTAATGCCTCGATCATGCTCTGTTCGCATTAATAAAATGAAGACGAACAACCTCATTTTTTAATTTCCCGCACACAAGCAGCTCGTGACCAATCCTCCTCCCACTCTTTGATCTCCACCTGAACTCCCCCTCTATTTGACTACATAGTCGTAGCTCCTCCTTGCTTGAAACCTGCAGTCAAACTCCCTCCTTCCTTCCTCGTCTAAACCGCATGTAACAGCTCGGACCTCAGCCTCCCTGTCAAAGTTGCACACAACAAGCCAAACCCATTGCATATCCCGATCTTAGTAATTTGATCCACATATCCACTATAGCCCATGTCTGACCTGATCCACCAATCTCCTACACCCAACTTCCAATTCTTCCATCGATCTGAGATCCCTCACTGTTGATCTCCCCACTCCAGTACCCAATACATGCACCTAACACTCGATCCAAACCTCATATGCTCGATTTCCCTGTTTCCATCGCTACCTCCCACACCAAGCCCGTTGCTTCTAATCTAATATCTGGTCGACCCACTACAGCCCTCCAACTTCCCACCTCATAAGTCGAGCAAGTCTTCATACCCTTCTACATCAATCAACCTTGAACTCCTCATACCCAACTCCCTAACTGCCTTCTTTCTACAATCGAACTCCAGCTGCTACACCGGTAAGCCAACAACCATATTCCTCTAGCCCATACAACAATTCCAATCATCCACCAACACTCTGACCCATTCCCCTATACACAGATACATCTCCATCAACGTGAACTATCTATTCTTGCGGCCTTTCTCTTCTCTCGTTCCTCCTCACAGCCAAATAGCCCCTCACTCATTCAATTTTCTCATCCAAATCCTCATAGCCAAACAACCCTTTATCTTCCCCCTATAGCTTTACACCGAACTCAAATAGGCCACTATAGCCCATAGCCCATCCCACTTCCAAAAAGCCCACCTAGTTCACTCTCAAAAGCCCTAATTCTCTCTAACATAAACAAATTTACTCTCATAGTCTCTTCACAATTCATTTTCTCTCACCACACCTTGGCTTTGGCTTGAGTGCGCAATAGCTGAACCGCTCTTTCGTGCGAGAAAACGATGCTAGGGGAGCCACTCACTTCTCTCTCTATATATATTTATATATATAAGGAAAGCGCCAAAAAAAGAGAGAAAATTTTGTGCATTTTAGTCACTGTCGTCTCCTCAAAATCGCCATCATCGTCTTTCATCCACATAAGGTATAAACGATTTCTAGCCATAAAACTCCCAAAATCCCATTATCGTTGCTTGTAGCACACCGAAGGACCACATATACACATTTTTCTTAGCGTTGTGGGAGGGAACTAAATGCGATCTTTGCGGCAAAGTGGGTAGGCCCTATATATGCTTTTGTTTGCGTGTTGGGGACTAGTGGTGTAACTGAGTCAAGCCGACTCACGAGATGGCTCGAGCTCGAATTGTTAATGGTTCGACTAGTCGTGCTTATTGAGTTATCGAGTCAAGATCGAATAGGATTTTGATCTGGACAGGTTTATTGAGCTTGAGCTTTAACAACCCTTCTCTCGACTCGACTACTCATCGAGCGACTTGTGACAGGGAAGAAAAATTGCATGTCAGAAGATGAATTTCACTCCAAAAGATAGGAATCACACACTCGACTAGAACAGCACGCATGACGAGACCATGGGCTAAAAAAAGATACAGGATGGTAAAATTGTATCGAAACTCAGATGCAGGATCAAAACTTAAACGTGGATCAGAACTCGGGTGCAAAATCGAGTAGCTCGACGAGCATATTTCAGTGTCGCGAGTCAAGCTCGACTCAAGTTCGAGCTCAGTATTTGACTCGTGAGTTGAGCTCGAACACCCTTGACTCGAGCTCGACTTGACTCGTTTACACCCCTAGCGGGGATAACCCTAGGTACCGATGCATGTACTTCTTTGCCTATGGAAAAAAATTATTAATTCATTACACAAGTACCTCAAAGACACATACAAGCTTTTCGTAGCATGGTGGGATTAAAAACCATGATCGCGGAGTCGCCAGACATCTACCATACATGCTTTTCGTAGTGTGGTGGGAGTGCTCAACTCCCAAAAATTCCTCAAAATGGGGGAGACACCAGGAAGTTACCAAAGTTCAGACCATATGGAACGGAACTTGAACAAAACTAAATGGGATCGAACATGTATGAACAAAACTACATGGACTGAACTTGAACGAAACTCATAGGGATCTGACTTTAAGGTCAACATAAAAATCAAAATCACAAAATAATAAAAATTAAATGCAAAAATATGCAAGCAGGGGACATGTATTGAACAAAACTCCAAGCATGATTTTCTTGTAAGCATTGATCAGCAATAATTAATGAGGATGTGTGATTTAGTTGCAAGTATACACAAATCTATCCTAATAAGCATTGTAAATCATATATGAATGATAGTGATTGGTGTGGGATAGTTGTATCAATCTAGCAAGCAAACATATCAAACCACGAAGGAGTTCTAATGCACACAATGAACTATTCATGAGTGGTAACATAAGACATGCAATGATATGCTTATGAGCAAAGCACGGAGATACACAATGACTATAACAACTTCTCTACAGTTAATACCAACTTGAAAGCAAATACATTGAACCTCTGCAAGTAATGAAGGGAAATATAAAAAGAATATGATGACCTTACAACAAATACAACAGCCTGCTCAAAATCACTATGCAACGAATGTGATGGATTCCCTACTAACATAGATAATATAATTATAATGCATGCAACGCATCATCTACAAGACAAGGCAAAAAAATCCTAATAAGTGCAATACCTACAAGAAAAGGCAGAAGATCTGAAGTACACATAATAGCATCGTTCACAACCAGTGTTTAGAATGAAGTATAATTCATCGGCAGTCCACATTAACATACAAATGAACACACTAAACTTACCTGCAAATGGGATATTTCATGCAGACATACACAGGCATCCTACAATAAATGCTAGGGTGTATATATAGTCAATAACAATCAAGCTTTCAGCAAATACATCAGTATCATGTAAACAAAGGCAGTCGAGTCATGATAAATACGAGCACTTATAAGCCACTATAGAAGACCTGTTATGCACACAACGTGCTATATACAAGAAAATACATAAGAACAGTAGTAAATTCAAACACCTACGATTAGCACTAGAAGGTTTGCATTCAGTACAACTTGCCCACATATGATTGTGCAAGGTTTGCAATACATGCAGCGGTCCTACCTACTAACAATGATAGTGAATGTGCTGCAAGTATGGTGGACTCTCTCCAGACATTAGTAAAAAATTGCATCAAGTATAAAAAACTGGTTGCATGAAAAAGCAACGAGCCTGTAATA